ACTCACTTAATATTAGATTTTAAAGCCATGTTTTTTAACATTTCATAGGCCTTTTTTTGTTTACACGGTCAGAAATAAAATATACTATAATTGTATTTTAGCGCTTTACTGGGGCAGTAATCTTAAAGGTGCAACTATACCCCTAAAAGGGAGCATATTAGTACCATACAAGTATGCATGCTTTAAGGGTAGATAAGTTACAAAGGTGCACCTTTGAGGATACATCATGAGAAATAAACATGGTGTTACGTAAGTACTAAAATGTATTATTATTATTATTATTATACCATGGTAAATTTGTGGTTACTGCAGTTTTACTACAAATACTGTGGTAAACTGTGGTTACTGTAATAAAACCATGGTTAATTTTTGTAAAAGGCTGCCAGGCTGTTGTACCCCTAAAGGTGGTACTTTTTTCTGACAGATTTATTAACAGCAGTTACAGAACATAGCACAATCCATTTGAACTTGTAACAACCAGTTTAAATAAATTTACTTGCACAAACTAGCCAATTTAATAATAAATATTACATGTACACAAAAGTTTGGAGTCAGTAAGATTTAGTAATATGTTTTAAGTCTCATGCTCACCAAGGCTGCACTTCTTTGAAAAAAAAAAAGCAGTAACAATGAATAATAATCATATTTTCTATTTTAATATATTTTAAAATGTCATTTCAAATGCATCTGTGATCAAAGCTGAATTTTCAGTATCATTACTCCAGTCTTCAGTGTCGCATGATCCTTCAGAAATCATTCTAATATCATTTTTCTGCTCAAGAAACTTTTATTATTATTGCTGCTTCATATTTGTGTGGAAATCATGATGCATTTTTCAGAATTTATTTTATATATAGTAACAATGTTATGTAGGCTAATGTAATGTAATAATGTGGCAATGGTTTCTTAAGATCTACGTATGCTTCTGATGCTTTTGGGAAACGCAGCACTATTCAAACAAGCACTGTGAGCCATGCTTCAGCAGCGAACGCTTGTCTGTGATTGATTGGTTCAGTCTTTCAGCATTTGCGTGTGTTCCGATGAGCAGGAGAAATGGTTTTATCCAACACAATTATTCGCTAATATAGTCTATTTTTCCACATAGAAGCATATTTTATGCACCAAATTTCTTGATAAATACATTTAATTAACGGTTAAAAAATGCACTTTAGAATCAATATTTTTATGTGAGGATCGATCCTTTCGATACAACATCAGTATGGATACTTAAGGATCGATCAGCCCATCCCTAACACATGGAATGCGGCCGTTCACTCCATAGACCAGAGACTCTAGGACTCAGGTAAAGTACAGACAGAGAAACATAAGAAGTGTGTACCCTTCTATGTTCAATAAACTGTTAAATAGTCTTTGCCTTGTGTGTGTGTTTTTTATAATGAATAAGGGGATTTAAAAGTAACAAATGACTAAATCAATTAACAGTAAAGTAAATTTAAATAAATATAGCAAAAATAACCAAATAAAACAGTGGTAGAGGCTAAACATGTGAAGTGGGCTACGAACCTGTGACAATAATTCAATTAAAAAGGACAACAATATAATACTTAACACTGCCACAGAGCGATACAAGAGAAACTAGCAGACATCTGTTTCACATGATATTTAGAGTTCAACAGGCATTATAAAATATAAATAAAATGTATATTAAGAAAATTTCACAGCATAATACTATGATTGACCAGCACTGTGTAAAAAAAAAAACTATTAAAAGTTAAAAAAAAAAAAACTCTAAGACAAAGATCACTTTGCTGTTCTGAGGAAACAGTATCTCTTGCTGAGATCAAAACATAAACCTAATGCACTATTTGCAGTGACAAAAAAACGAAACTGCAGCAAGGGAAAGAACCGAAATCAGACAAAACGAGAAATCGGTGTCTGCCATACAGACAAACCAGCGTGAATGTGGAAGTGAAATGAAGCAGGGGATTATCTGAGTGCTTGTACCTTGGGCACAAAGAGCACCACGAGGGTGATGTAGACCGAGAAGATGATGGCCAGAGAGGCGAATGCAAATGAAGCATCCTGCTGAGAGGAGAGGATCATGGTCACCGGAGCAGTAATCATGCACAGCACCTGGAGACAGAATCAAAAAACAGAGTTTAACGTTAATAATGTGAATCTATAACTGTGAAGATATAACTAAAAATGCAAAGATATTACACGAAGCTATAACTTAAACCAGATTGTTAGGACTCACTTAAGAAATTTAATTAAATTAAATTAAAGTTAGAAATGTTGCTTAGCATCTAACTGAATTAAGTTGATTCATAATTAATAAATAATTAATTAATTAATAAAAATAAATTAAACCTAAATAGTAATATTAACAAAAGACAAAAAAGCACATCAAATTAAGAGAGAACAACGTTATTAATGTGAAGATTTAACTGCTTTAGTTTTTCTAATAAGATCTTTAGAACTCACTGTCATTTTACAGGTGATTAAAATAAAAAAATTTTTTTAAATCAAATCAATCAATCAATTTAAACCACTTACAAATGTGGTCTTGATCGGGTTTGTAAAAATCAGATTTCATGTGTTTGTTTTGCTATGCAGACAAAAGAAAAATCTTGAGTCAGATAGTTAGGGGATTATCTGAGTGCTTGTACCTTGGGCACAAAGAGCACCACGAGGGTGATGTAGACCGAGAAGATGATGGCCAGAGAGGCGAATGCAAATGAAGCATCCTGCTGAGAGGAGAGGATCATGGTCACCGGAGCAGTAATCATGCACAGCACCTGGAGACAGAATCAAAAAACAGAGTTTAACGTTAATAATGTGAATCTATAACTGTGAAGATATAACTAAAAATGCAAAGATATTACACGAAGCTATAACTTAAACCAGATTGTTAGGACTCACTTAAGAAATTAAATTAAATTAAATTAAAGTTAGAAATGTTGCATAGCATCTAACTGAATTAAGTTAAGAAATAAATAATAAATTTATTTATTAATTTATCTTTAAAAAGACAAAAAAGCACATAAAATTACTAAAGAGAGAACAACGTTATTAATGTGAAGATTTAACTGCTTTAGTTTTTCTAATAAGATCTTTAGAACTCACTGTCATTTTACAGGTGAAAATCAATCAATCAATTTAAACCACTTACAAATGTGGTCTTGATCGGGTTTGTAAAAATCAGATTTCATGTGTTTGTTTTGCTATGCAGACAAAAGAAAAATCTAAATGGACTTGAGTCAGATAGTGTTTTACAGATTTGTAAATACATATATATTTGTAAATACATATACTGTATATTGCGGTCTAAACAAGGCCTTTGTGTACCAAACTATCATCACCACTAGAGGGCATAAATTAACTGTAAGAAAAAATGAACTTACAGAGCAGAAACGGTGTGAATGAGAACTGAGAAAGTGATGAGATAAAGATACTGTAGTGGGAAAAAAGGAAGGAGCATGAGAGAAATTAAAGAGAGCGAGAGCAAGAAATGTTGATGAAAAAGAGAGGTCATTTTGTCGAAACACTCGCAGGAGGCGGCAGAGAGATGAAGATCTTATACGATGAGTGGAGATGTCATATCTGGCGAACAGTGTGGAAAAATAACTTGTATTTACCTTCAATGGCCAAGAATGACTCTACAGACAGATAACAGCGAGCAATGAACTGACTGCCATGACTGTCCGGACAACATCCAGAGCACCACAAGTCTATTTCCTCTCTGACCTCAACAGCACTGGAGTGATATGAGCTACTCTGTGCTATTCTAACAGAGTGCACAAAAACATCAGCTGATGGGAAGTAAACTGCTTGTTACGTTTGAGAGCTCAACAAAAATAGACTTTTTTCTGCTGTACGTAGATCAGATTTGTACTTTCCCTGGCGACATTTTTAGACTCATTTCTGAATCTTGCATCACTGTAAAACAGACAGCAAATCCTTTGTTTTTGATCAACCCAACAACCTTCGAGTAGCATCAAAGCAGGCATGTTATTCCTGACACATGGCAGAAACATGGTGCCGTTCTGAGACTTAATCTGATCTTATGTAAAATAGCTGTAGGACTGACGTAAAGCGTTTGCGTTCCCAGTGAAGTGTTACTTGTTTCCTCATTAGGATGTTTTAGTCTGAGTTTGAGCAAAAGGGTGCAATTATGCAAATCAGCCTGCGAAGCACTTGGAGTTATTGCCGGAATCAAACTGTTTGCAAGCAGTTGAGCAATTCAGAGCGAAGCACAAAACGCCAGTAATCAACACCTCATTCAAAAACTGTGCTAAAAAAAGCCCAAACACAAGGCGAACATGTTGTTTTTGGCAAAAAAATAATAAAAAATAACATACAATTAGCATTACGTCAATAGCTATTATTTTGTTTTCACAGTGAGATTTTATTATAGGTTATAGATCATTTTAATACACTAATTTAATTGTTTTGCTATGCAGACAAAAGAAAAATCTTGAGTCAGATAGTTTTTTACAGATTTGTAAATACATATATATTTGTAAATACATATACTGTATATTGCGGTCTAAACAAGGCCTTTGTGTACCAAACTATCATCACCACTAGAGGGCATAAATTAACTGTAAGAAAAAATGAACTTACAGAGCAGAAACGGTGTGAATGAGAACTGAGAAAGTGATGAGATAAAGATACTGTAGTGGGAAAAAAAGAAGGAGCATGAGAGAAATTAAAGAGAGCGAGAGCAAGAAATGTTGATGAAAAAGAGAGGTCATTTTGTCGAAACACTCGCAGGAGGCGGCAGAGAGATGAAGATCTTATACAATGAGTGGAGATGTCATATCTGGCGAACAGTGTGGAAAAATAACTTGTATTTACCTTCAATGGCCAAGAATGACTCTACAGACAGATAACAGCGAGCAATGAACTGACTGCCATGACTGTCCGGACAACGTCCAGAGCACCACAAGTCTATTTCCTCTCTGACCTCAACAGCACGGGAGTGATATGAGCTACTCTGTGCTATTCTAACAGAGTGCACAAAAACATCGGCTGATGGGAAGTAAACTGCTTGTTACGTTTGAGAGCTCAACAAAAATAGACTTTTTCTGCTGTACGTAGATCAGATTTGTACTTTCCCTGGCGACATTTTTAGACTCATTTCTGAATCTTGCATCACTGTAAAACAGACAGCAAATCCTTTGTTTTTGATCAACCCAACAACCTTCGAGTAGCATCAAAGCAGGCATGTTATTCCTGACACATGGCAGAAACATGGTGCCGTTCTGAGACTTAATCTGATCTTATGTAAAATAGCTGTAGGACTGACGTAAAGCGTTTGCGTTCCCAGTGAAGTGTTACTTGTTTCCTCATTAGGATGTTTTAGTCTGAGTTTGAGCAAAAGGGTGCAATTATGCAAATCAGCCTGCGAAGCACTTGGAGTTATTGCCGGAATCAAACTGTTTGCAAGCAGTTGAGCAATTCAGAGCGAAGCACAAAACGCCAGTAATCAACACCTCATTCAAAAACTGTGCTAAAAAAAGCCCAAACACAAGGCGAACATGTTGTTTTTGGCAAAAAAATAATAAAAAATAACTTACAATTAGCATTACGTCAATAGCTATTATTTTGTTTTCACAGTGAGATTTTATTATAGGTTATAGATCATTTTAATACACTAATTTAATTGAAATTATATTTAATGAAATTATACACACACACACACACACACATAGTGTAATTTATATTTATACTTTTTAACCTTACTACACAAAATAAATCACTAGCTATAAACTAAAAATAAAAAACAAAAAAGTCTCTTGAATTTAACTGTAAATACAAAATGTTATATTTATATGAATAACTTCACTAATAAGTCATAAAGGTCAAGTTAAAATCTGGAAGGAGTAAGAAACTAAATAAAATAGCAACTTTAAGCTATTATACACTATTGTTTAAAAGTTTGCGGTCTGATTATTTTTATTTTATTTTAATGTTTTTGAAATATGTCTCTTATGTTTACCAAGGCTGATTGCGGTCTAAACAAGGCCTTTGTGTACCAAACTATCATCACCACTAGAGGGCATAAATTAACTGTAAGAAAAAATGAACTTACAGAGCAGAAACGGTGTGAATGAGAACTGAGAAAGTGATGAGATAAAGATACTGTAGTGGGAAAAAAGGAAGGAGCATGAGAGAAATTAAAGAGAGCGAGAGCAAGAAATGTTGATGAAAAAGAGAGGTCATTTTGTCGAAACACTCGCAGGAGGCGGCAGAGAGATGAAGATCTTATACGATGAGTGGAGATGTCATATCTGGCGAACAGTGTGGAAAAATAACTTGTATTTACCTTCAATGGCCAAGAATGACTCTACAGACAGATAACAGCGAGCAATGAACTGACTGCCATGACTGTCCGGACAACATCCAGAGCACCACAAGTCTATTTCCTCTCTGACCTCAACAGCACTGAAGTGATATGAGCTACTCTGTGCTATTCTAACAGAGTGCACAAAAACATCGGCTGATGGGAAGTAAACTGCTTGTTACGTTTGAGAGCTCAACAAAAATAGACTTTTTCTGCTGTACGTAGATCAGATTTGTACTTTCCCTGGCGACATTTTTAGACTCATTTCTGAATCTTGCATCACTGTAAAACAGACAGCAAATCCTTTGTTTTTGATCAACCCAACAACCTTCGAGTAGCATCAAAGCAGGCATGTTATTCCTGACACATGGCAGAAACATGGTGCCGTTCTGAGACTTAATCTGATCTTATGTAAAATAGCTGTAGGACTGACGTAAAGCGTTTGCGTTCCCAGTGAAGTGTTACTTGTTTCCTCATTAGGATGTTTTAGTCTGAGTTTGAGCAAAAGGGTGCAATTATGCAAATCAGCCTGCGAAGCACTTGGAGTTATTGCCGGAATCAAACTGTTTGCAAGCAGTTGAGCAATTCAGAGCGAAGCACAAAACGCCAGTAATCAACACCTCATTCAAAAACTGTGCTAAAAAAAGCCCAAACACAAGGCGAACATGTTGTTTTTGGCAAAAAAATAATAAAAAATAACTTACAATTAGCATTACGTCAATAGCTATTATTTTGTTTTCACAGTGAGATTTTATTATAGGTTATAGATCATTTTAATACACTAATTTAATTGAAATTATATTTAATGAAATTATACACACACACACACACACACATAGTGTAATTTATATTTATACTTTTTAACCTTACTACACAAAATAAATCACTAGCTATAAACTAAAAATAAAAAACAAAAAAGTCTCTTGAATTTAACTGTAAATACAAAATGTTATATTTATATGAATAACTTCACTAATAAGTCATAAAGGTCAAGTTAAAATCTGGAAGGAGTAAGAAACTAAATAAAATAGCAACTTTAAGCTATTATACACTATTGTTTAAAAGTTTGCGGTCTGATTATTTTTATTTTATTTTAATGTTTTTGAAATATGTCTCTTATGTTTACCAAGGCTGAATTTATTTGATCAAAAATACAATAAAAACAGTAATACTGTGAAATATTATTACAATTTAAAAGAACTGCTTTCTACTTTAATATAATTTAAAAAGTAATTTATTCCTGTGATGCAAAGCTGAATTTCCAGCATCATTACTTCAGTCTTCAGTGTCACATGATCCTTCAGACATCATTCTATTATGCTGATTTGACATTTTTTTCTTATTATCATCAATGTCGAAAACAAGCATGCTGCTTAATATTTTTGCAGAAACTGTGATACATTTTTTAGGATTCTTTGATGAATAGAACGTTTTAAAGAACAACAAGTATTTTCAATGGAAATCTTTTGTAGACAACATTAGAAATGTCTTCACTGTCACTTTTGATCAATGTAATGCATCATTGGGGAAGTATTCATTTCTTTCAAGAAAAAAAACATTACATTTTGTGATTTGAATAACTTTGTGATTTCATTTTTGTCTTCTAGCAGGTAAAGAGACATTTTTCATGAGCGAACGGTTTATCCTACTTCTACAGTGCAGACAGAGAGCATTTGAAGTGAGAGGGGGCGGCAAGTGAAACACTGGGAGCTGCTTGGAAATAGTCACCTGCTGAGTCACAATTCATTTTCAATGAGACACAATACCACCCCAGAAACTGCTTCAGCCCCGGGCGACAGCGTGGATTGCTTATGCAGGTTTCTGCCACTGCTTATAAGCAGTTTCACAATTAACTTAGCCTTCTGTCATATATTTATAAAGGAGTCATATATTGTGGCTGTTAAACTCCTGGGGAAGATATAATAGTTGAATAGTTTTGGCTGTAAGGGCACAGTATTCATAATATTCATATGATATACAGTATATATAAGATGAAACAGTCAAATGTGTTTCTCCTGGCTGTCAGCAACGGTTAGGCTACACTATAAGAACATTATGTGCTGTGAATATAGAAATAGCCAGCAGTTAGACTTACAGATACATTGTAGATGGCCATGCCAACCGCTCTATGGTCATTAATCTTCTCTGTGGAAATGGACTTGGTCTCGTAGGCCAGAAAGATTCCCAGCAGCAGCAGAAGTCCCTTGTAGCCGTACACCACACCTGAAGGGAGAAAGCATTACTTACAGTATAGTGAGTGCTCTTAAAGCTCTGAGGTTGGCTTAAGATAATGTCTCACATGGAAACTGTATGCTTTCTATTTCTGTGCTACTTGAGCTATATGTGATGGATTTAAGTGTAGGCTCTTTTTAAACATTTGAACCAGTTCTTTGTGATGAATCTACTCAACTGATGCACATTGGAAACTAGGAGTTTTGGGAGTGAAAGAGTGAGGTGGTTGATTTTTTTAAAATCATAAATAATATCACATTCTATACTACCATTTAGATGTTTGGGATGAGATAGAATTTATTTTGTAAGAAATTAATAGTTGTATTCAACAAGAATGCATTAAATTGATCAAAGGTGACAGTAAAGACAATGTTAAAAGATTTCAATTTTAAATTAATGCTGTTCTTTTGCATTAATCATCAAAGGATCCTCAAAGTATCACAGTTTCCACAAAAATATGAAGCAGCACAACTGTTTTGAACAATGATAATAATAAGTAGTGCTGTCAAACGATTAATCGCGATTAATTGCATCCAAAACACGTTTTTGTTTACATAATATATGTATGTGTGCTATGTATATTTATTATGTATATACTGTATAAATACACACACATGCATGTATACATTTCAGAAAAATATGTTATGTTTATATATTAAATATGTTTATTTATAATATAAATTATATGAATATAAATATAGACATGTAAATATTTTCAAAATATGTACTGTATGTGTGTGTATTTATATATACATAATAAATATACACAAATCACACACATATATTATGCAAACAAAAGCTTTTATTTTGGATGCGATTAATCGTGATTAATCGTTTGACAGCATTAATAATAAGAAATGTTTATTGAGCATATAGACATGTAAATATTTTCAAAATATGTACTGTATGTGTGTGTATTTATATATACATAATAAATATACACAAATCACACACATATATTATGCAAACAAAAACTTTTATTTTGGATGTGATTAATCGTGATTAATCGTTTGACAGCATTAATAATAAGAAATGTTTATTGAGCACAACATCAGCATATTACAATGATTTCTGAAAGATCATGTGACACTGAAGACTGGAGTAATGATGCTGAAAATTCAGCTTTGCATCACAGAAATAAATTACATTTTAAAATATATTAAAATAGAAACATTAGAAATATTAGTTTTTAGTGTATTTTTGATCAGATAAATGCAGCCTTGGTGAGAGACTTCTTTCAAAAACATTACAAATTCTTACCAGCCCCAAACTTTTGAGCAGTAATGTATAAAACCTAATAGAAAACATAATTTCGAATTTGTGATATTTTTGTGTGATGACATAAATGCAGGAGTCTATTGGGTTTTGGGTTGACTCTATAAGATTTTAATATTACTAAATGTTTTCTGCATTACAGTAAATAGTTTGCCATATTACAGTAATGAAACCTGGTGAAAATGTGCTTAATTGTCATAAAAGTGTTGCCAAAAATCTTTCTGGCCCTAAAAAAATTTATATATGACATGTTTGAGAAGATAGATGATCTCTGTCCTGTCTTTAGGTCCATTTTTAGAAAGCTTTGAAACAAATGAAAATATAAAAACAATAAATAAATAAAAAGAGGAAGAATGATAAAGGAAGTGAAAGAGTAGAGAGGGACTAATAAGTCACATTAAGAGTTTAATCTCGTTTTGAGTTCAGGGAAGGTACAGTAAATAGTTTGCCATATTACAGTAATGAAACCTGGTGAAAATGTGCTTAATTGTCATAAAAGTGTTGCCAAAAATCTTTCTGGCCCTAAAAAAATTTATATATGACATGTTTGAGAAGATAGATGATCTCTGTCCTGTCTTTAGGTCCATTTTTAGAAAGCTTTGAAACAAATGAAAATATAAAAACAATAAATAAATAAAAAGAGGAAGAATGATAAAGGAAGTGAGAGAGTAGAGAGGGACTAATAAGTCACATTAAGAGTTTAATCTCGTTTTGAGTTCAGGGAAGGTTTTTTTCTCTGTAATATTATCTTCCTGTACAGCGTGAGAGAGTCAGGCTATGAGATCCAGACCTGGGCACTGACCCACAAAATTTAATTTTACACTGCGGCGCTCTGATAGGAAGTCAGAGCCAGAGGAAAAGTGCGAGAAAGAGATAGTGAGAGAGAGAACGAGAGCGGGAAAGAATGAGTTGTGGAATGGTGAGAGGAATTCAAAAAACTCTTGAGCATATAACAAATTATTAATTTAAATTTCCAAGACAGATTGCATCACTGAAGTGTAGAACGAGAAGCAACCGTATAGATAATTAAACCCCTAGAAATGAAAATAGACCAGGGGTGTCAAATGCACAGCGCACAGGAAAAATATTAAAGTAAATTATGCAAAAAACAAACAAAAAAACATCATGTTTATTATCGTTATGATATATTCATATTCTCGAGTTTCACAACAACTTCAATATTCAGGATTAGGGTTTTTTTTTATTAAAAATACTGCACTAAAAAGACTGTGGACAGAGTGAGTGAGTGTTGGATACTTACCAAGCCACGTGTTCATCTTCTCTGAACTGCAGTGCTCGAGAAGAGGCTGAATCAACACATCTAGATCTTCTTTAGGAGCCTCTTTAGTGAACTTCTGCTTAGAGCGAGAAAGCAAGAGAGCGAGCGAGAGCACTTTAAAGGACAGAGATTGAGGTCAATGCAGCAGAGCACTGCACTACAATCCTTCACCATTAACACCTACTTCCATGAGCTTGCTCGGCAGAAATTTCCAAGGAATCTCAGAAAAAACACATCATAAAAATCACAGTAACAACAAGAAAAAAATTAAGTGTCACCGCACCTCCACAGTTATGTGCAGAGGGTCCATGATCTGCCAGATAAGCAGAGAGAGAACATCAATAGCCAGCAGAACTGCAACGGTCGCATACAGCTTCCACGGCTCCAAATGCTGCGGTTAAATAACAAGACCATAATCGTTAGTCAATGATACACAGTTGCAAAATATCAAGACACTAATGAGAAACTGCTATACTGTAAAGGGACACATAAAAGTAAATGTAAAATATGTATGCATGGTCACAGCAGTTGTATACATTATTGAAATTTTTTCTGTGGAACACAAAAGGAGAAAGTTGTTGAAAGTTGTATGTTTATTGCATGCAGCTTATAAGAACAACTCAGTAGAAAAACAGGTTTTCATGTCACTATTTTATAATCTTCATAATCCATATTCGCAATTTGGGTAAACATGATTCCTTTTGCAGGCATTAGTGGAAAAGATTAAACAGCATGGTAAAACAAAAACTAAAGGAAAAGGCCAAAAAAACACAACAAAAACATCATAAAAGCATTACGATAGCTTTGTTTTGAGAAACAGATTTACACAAAAACATGCAGCAATGAAAATTATCAGTAAATAATGACTTGGTCAGTTTTACACAAAACTACTGTAAAGGTCTTTGCACATGGAGTCCAAAATTCTCGTCCGAAAGTTTCGCATGTTAAAAAATAAACACGACCTCACGTTGTGTCGCTCATGTGTTCACACTGCCTCTGAGAGTTTCAACTGCCATAAACAAAAAAAATTCGGATCAGGTTCGATTTTCTGCGTTTTCGCATCTGTAGCAAGCATTTTAATAAAACTCATATTTTCTTTTTCTTTTTGGAGTTTGAAAGTCATTGCATGACAAGAGCTTTAAAAAGTTTCTTCAAATAAGTTCTACTTTTATGTTCCACAGCAAAAAAAATTTAAAGTATATGGGTTTGGATCGAATCAATGGTGAGTAAATAGCGACAGAACTCTTTTTAAGAATCACCGCATTCGAGGTGCTGTTCTGAATAACACGTTTATTTTCCTGTCAAGGTAAATGACGGAATTGCTCTGACACCATAACAATTGTGTTTACTCCACTGCATGGTGGGTAACAGGAAAGCAGAATGCCAATCATCAGCAAACATGACGAAAGTCATGTGTTACAAATGTGGACTTCTTTTCAGTTGCAATTCCATCCATTAATCCATGGCCGCAGGCTCCCTCCAGGCCGTCAGACTGGGAAAACGGGATAGAACCAAGCCTCACTGCACACTTTCTCCTCTCTCTCTCCCTCCCTTAATCACCGTGAAGGCGTCAAACGACCCAAGAGCCCCCAGTTTCTACCACATTCTGCCTGAGCGCCGAACTTTCTTCAAGTGCTGTCGAACCACTTAGGCAAATTGCCCCATTACGGACATCGGGAGAGTTGAAAGTCATCTCGACTTGTCATGCAGAGCGCTTGAATAATAAAACCCCCTGAAGGTCGGATTTCAGTAAAAGAAGTTTAATGCTCATCCATATTCATACATATTCCATAGTTGGGGTAATCTGGTTGTCGTTTGATGAGGTCTTAGGGTTTCCCTAATGCCGTGTCTTATTGCTTTAGGACACGGGATCAGAGCGAACACACGTGTCAAGATGCTAATAGTGTGTTTGTGTTGTGTAAGGAAGAAACGGACAGAACTTCTCGCAGCAAGAATAAGAGAGAGAAGGGGGAGGTTCTTCTCTATTTCATGCTGGGAAACTTCATCTAACGCTGTAGAGTCAGCAGTGCTGGATTCTTTAATATGCAGTAGATAACAGTGAATTCGGCAGCGCTGCAAAACGTGAGCACGCTGCTCGTCACATCTGCAGATTCTGCGAAATTATCTGAAAATAATTAAGGGGTTACTGAAAAATGCAAAGTCTTGTGCAAAGCCTACAAGCCCTGTCATCATTCTAATTAAACCAGATGTAATTTAAAATAAATTCATTACTCAGTTCACCCAAAAAAAATTAAAATTCTGTCATCATTTACTCACCCTTGTGTCATTCAAAACTTGTACAGTTTTCTTTCTTTTGTAGAGTGCAAGCAAATGTTTATCAAAATTATTACAGTGCCACAGTTTTTGGAATATAATATGAATAATTATTACAATAAATAATTATCAAATTATCATATATATATATATATATATATATATATATATATATACTGT